ATATATATATATATATATATATATATATATATATATATATATATATAAACTCATCAGTTACATTCATACTCCACAGTTAGCATGGTAATTGTCAAAATTAACAGCATAATTTGTAAATGATTAAACAAATAGACATTGTCTGGAGGAGTTTTCTCTCTTAAAACAAACAAAAAGCCTGAAAAATCACATCTTAAAGAATGTTTGAATAAGAGCATGGTGGTGAGGACCGGTAATGCAGAATATGAGAATGTGAAATCTTAAGTAAAACTAAAAACGTTAATAATTATTATTTTTTTTTTAATCTAGCATACTGACAATACAAACAGACATGCGCACATACGAAGGAAAAGCTAAAGCAAATGAAAGAATTGGAACAATGTGGGGTGAACAGGGATATTCAACAGAGAGGGGTGATCACTGGATTGATGAGCAGGTGTGAAGATTGGATTAGGGGAGCTGAGGGAAACAATGATTGGAAATGAAATGACCTAGAATTACTCAAAACAAACAAACAAAACCACAGCAAACTCAAAATGGTTCAGCAGAGAAACCAAACATGTCTCTCCACAGTGACACTCTCCAGAGCTCCTCTTTAAGGATCCCAGGCCAGAAAATACAAAATCCCCGATGAACTGTGGGTCTGCCTCCTCTCAGTGGATTGAACCAATGAACCCAGAGAGCTTCCAGAGGGAGGTATCTAGAAGAAACCAGCTGCTTGAATCACTTTAGCAGATTCTTGCAGCTCCTCCTTTTATCTCTAAAACTGAACCCAGCCACTTTGTGTAGAGGAAGCTCAATGCTTGTGCCCAGTAACTCATTTTCCATCATGACCCATATTTTTATAACCATAGGTGAGGGTTGGCGAGATGATGAACTAGTAAATCCAGAGCTTTGCTTTTCAGTTTAGCGCCTTCTTCATCACGACAGACTGGAGCAACAGCCTCACTACCGCTGATGAGGTCCCAATTCATCACTTGTAAAAATTAAACATGAAACTCCAAAGATACTTGAACTGCTCCTGTTGAACCGACACTGGCTCCAAAAATACCACACGGCAGCATCCATAAAGAAAAATAAGTACATTTAGACTTTAAATGTGAACAACTGGAAAAATCTGAGATGTGTTGCCCATCTTCATTATTATCAGTGTTTGCGATGGTTCAGAGTCTGGACCTTATTAACGTAGAGGCTGTGGTGGGATCATGAGAGTTGAGAATAAACAATTATAAGAACAAATAAGAGTGGGCCAGAATTCTTCTATAAATGAGAGACTGTTAGAGTCAACCAGAAAGTAATTACGTCAAATTATTGGACATAATTCTGCACTGTACTTGAGCGTTCCTTAAATAAATAACAGTGCACGGTGCCTCTTGTTGCAGATACTACAGAGGAGCAGTGGGGGCGTTGTTAGTGTACGACATAGCCAAACACCTGACCTACGAGAACGTGGAGCGCTGGCTGAAAGAGCTGAGGGACCACGCTGACAACAACATCGTCATCATGCTGGTTGGCAACAAAAGTGACCTGCGTCACCTCAGGGCCGTGCCTACGGATGAAGCCCGGGCCTTCGCAGGTACTGAAACCTACAAAAACACACACCCTAGTTCTGATGGTGGAGTCATTTGGCGGCTCAGTTATGAGCATCTCTACTTCATGTAAATAGTTTAATTTTAATTTTCTGCGGTTATTATTTAAATCAAATTGGCACCGTATCAGCGTTTACTCATACGGTTTAACAAACTTCTACATGGCTTAACTGAGCACAGTCGAGCTTGAACACGTGATGCGTTTGATTGTAAGTAAATTTAGATGTTTAAAAACGCACTTTTAGCAGTAGAGCGCTAATCATTTTTAGATAATTTTTTTGCGTTTATGCAACGTTTGGTGGTTTCACAAGCAAGCTAACTCTGGTCTTCACTCTGTATGTAGATGGGTTATCTGAGTGTATGTTTAAAAATGTTTTGCTTTTGTTAATCCACAGAGAAGAACAATCTGTCCTTTATAGAAACTTCAGCCTTGGACTCAACAAACGTGGAAGAGGCCTTCAAAAATATCCTTACAGGTACGACTGTGAACGAGAGACCACGCCGTACGCACAACTAGAGTAATAGTAAAAGAAAACTACATTCATTGTTTCAAAAAATTAACCAAAAAGAGTGGAGTTTAGGGAAACAGAGCATTATCTGCTTCACAAAAAGAAACGGTTGCCATGGTTACAGACCTGCCAATTGGCAGGTTTTCCTCTACAAACTCTGGGCTTCTCTCGGACTCTTCCCCTCCTGCAGAACCTGAAACATCCACTTCATGTACCGTGTAAGTTCCTCATTCACACGCTCGGTATCGGAGCTTTCATTTGCAGAAGTTTCCAACTTTAGAAACAAGATTCCAGTTAGACGGCAGTGGCTAACACAATGGCCTTTTTGACAAATTACAGCATCGCCGACGTAGAAGCGAAGACACTAATCTCTGAATGTTATTTGAATTCAGAAACAAAATCTATATTCTGTGTTGCCTCCTTTTGTTTAACCTGCTGCTCTGAGAACAGTCAAGCAATAGTTTAGGGTCTTTCGAAGTGTGGTTCTCTGGAAAGGTTACGAACAGGTAAAATCTTACCTGCTGTAGATCGCTCCCTGAATTCCCTCAGTTTGGATATATAAGAGTTTAATTCTGACCAGATTAACAAGCTAATGGCTTGTCAGAGTGAGGCCACAGCCAAAGCAGCTGTCCTAAAACAGCTTTAATGGATCTGAACACCATTCATAAATCTTTACATGATCTATTTTGTATTACGCAATTGTTTACGTAGAAAGTAGTGAGGTTTTTTGCAAGTGTAAAAAGCCGTAGTAAGTTCAAGTTGTGTTTATTTGTCATATGCAAGGTTAACAGCACAATGAAATGCTCAGGGTGAGAAGAACCGATTTGACTCGCTATAAAAAAAAAAAAGAAATAATGTAATGTAATAAGGGTATAAAAATAAATAACATTTACAAGGTCCTAAAGAGAAAATAGTAATCAACAACATGATAGAATTTTAACGGTGCAAGTAGGATGAATTTGTATGAATAAGTATTTCAGGGTAGTAATATAAGCTAAAATGCATGTGATGTATATTGCACATCACTAACATACACTACACAGGTTGTGTGACAGGTTTTCTGCACAGCTGGTGCACTTTTAGCAAGATTACGGTATTATAATATATCTGTTAACATAACAGAGCAATTTAAAACTGACGACTGTAAAAATATCGTTGCAAAGACACCATCAATTATTTTTAAATGAAGTCGTTTTAAATGGCAGAACTCCACTTTGGGTTTGGTTTTGCTCAGAGTAGCTGTTGGTTCATCAATCTGAAAAGACTGTTTCTTCAAACTGAGGCCGTTTAGCTATGTACAAGTGTGGACATCAATTGTTCATAACCTTTCCCACAAAACCTCATTCAAAAAGGTTTGAACTGTTGCTTTAAGGCAGCCTTCGTGCTTGTGACTGAAACATTTAGCCTCATCACTGTGGTAATCGCTGTTTAAATGGATCTGTATGAAGCTGGGAAGATAAAACTTCTCATCAGTGTATAATCTTTTCGTTGCAGAAGCGTGTTATTGTGGAACTTTCCTATAAAAGTTAAAACCGTCTTGTTGGAGCTGATAAGAGCATTTCTGATTCAGGATGTTGGAAGATTTTAGCAGCATTTAATCTTAAGTGTTCTGACATTGTTGGGGTATTTAAGCCACTTTAAAGTTTTTAAAATGTAAGTCCTATGGAAAAAAAAAAATCACATTCAGCCACATCTCACCTTCATGATTATACATCCATGAACTGTTTGTTTTGTACATATTTATTGCTCGCTGATGAAAGGTGAAGGTGGACAACAATATTTTTACTCATGTGTAACCGTTACCAAACTCATGAACCAGAGGTCAAATTTTATTAAAATTATAGAAAATAATCATGGATGTAGTACATGTACAACTGATTTAAATTTAGATACTAATTTGATTTGAAAGGACTTCCATGACCAGCCGTTTAAAAAAAAAAATCACAAATAGCTGTAAGAGTCGGTTTACAGACCTAAAATTTGGTGTGGTAATAGCCGAGATTCATCCTCTACACATTTACATGTGCTAACATATTGCACAAGAGCCTTGTTTCACCTTTTTCCATTTACTATTTGAATTCAACTTTGTCTTTTATCAAAATATCTCACAAATTACTGGATTAACCTTTTGAGTAAATACATTCAAGATGACCACCACAGCCATCTCATTTTAGAAGACACAAAAATAGATAAATTTTAATCCATTTTACAGATAGCGTCCTTCAGTTTGGATGGTTGTAACCGGGGCTTAATTTGAGCCGGATCCTGCCATAACAGGATCTGGGACTTTCTCATTTTGACAGGGTGCGTTGCGGTAACGCCTTGCTTGGATCCGGTAACTCTCAGGCTTACTAATAATAAAGTTATGAACAAATATGGCTGCCTTGAATGAATTAAACTTATATTGGATATGTAAAATGAAAATAATTACATAAAAGCTAATTTTAAACACAACAGCCATGTAACGAGCTTACGATCTGCCTCTTCAAGTAGCATTTCCGTGTCTACCATTTAAAACAAATCTGCCCCTAAAAGAGTGGCGGGGGTGAGTTCTGAGCTAACCAGGCAGTCGTATGCGGGCAAGAGCCCAGACGAAGGAGGCGCCTGGAGTTTCACACATGGAGTCGAACATCAACGAGCAGGGACAGAGTTGGGCTCAATTCCGAGCCCGACTTACTTGACGGTTCTGTCTTTCAGGTCTCTCGTGTAAATGAGTTCATGAGGCTCAATGGGACTAACCTGTATAAATAAAGGTTGAATGAAAAGTAAGGTAGGGGAGGATGCTTGACAGAAGTGTTTACTTATGTAGGTAAATGTAAATGTTTAACAACCTGTTAAAATACATAAAGTTGCAGAAAATCACATCTACTTTATTAAAACATTTCTGGAGGAGGGCCCTCCAGAGCCCCACTGAGCCCGGTCCACCCGCGATTTGTACTCCGGCATCAGTCGGTTCACAAATTAAGTCCTGGTTGTAAATGAGCGTCATTCACAACACATACTCTGAGTGAGCATTTCAGGATTTTACATGTGCATAATGTGGGTTGCTGTATTTTTTGGAGTATAAGGCACACTTAAAATTCTTTAATTTTCTCCAAAATCAACAGTGATCCTTATAATCCGGTGTGCTTTATGAATTAATTCTGGTTGTGCTTACTGACCTCGAATCGATTTTATATGGTTATTGTGAATGAGTTGAATAAAGTTTGACTTATCTATTTTGTTTCACTTAATGTGCCTTATAATCCAGTGCGTTTTATAATCCAGTGTGCCTTATAGTCTGAAAAATACGGTAAATGTTGGTTACTTTTGTCTGCATTTTCTGTTGGGTTAAAGCTGAAATAAAAAGCTACATGTGGTAGTAGGACACCAAAGGGATTCCAGTTTCATAGTCTTTCAGGGGAAATGTAAAATGAGTAAAATATTAATCAGTATGCAATTGTGTTAACTTACTTATTTTAACCTATTGTTAATTAAATACAAAATAGTCACTTTTCTACATTTTCGCTGGAGTAAGTCTAATTCAATAAGTCACTTATCTTTTTATGTAGTTAAATTTTAGACTTGCATGTGCAGCTTCCTTCTAAAAAAGGTGATTTCCCTTTGCTGCTGGGTTATTTCGTCTTTACTGTTAACAAATTACGTTGGAAAAGGTTATCCTGTTATGTGATATTTTGAGTAAACGATCATGTTCTTTCTCATTTATTTCTTCCAAAACAGAAATATATCGCATTGTGTCGCAGAAGCAGATTGCTGAGCGGTCTGCCCACGACGAGTCCCCAGGAAACAACGTGGTGGACATCAGCGTTCCACCGACCACAGACGGCCAGAGGGGGAGCAAACTGCAGTGCTGTCAGAACCTGTAAAGCATGGCAATAGTCCCTCACCTGGGTCAATTATTAATTGAAATCCACAGTGTTGAAATGGTTTCATCTGTCCCTGGGAGCAACATTATCTGAATCTGCACTTTTTAAATCAGTGGAGGCAATTCTAAGACGCCACGAATAATCAATCCCAGAGAGAAGAGTTGGATTTCGAGTAGTAATCTGACCCAGGTACAGTCAGCTACATTCTGGTACAAAAACAGGACTGAGGGTACAACATAAGCAGCTACCACAGTGTAGCAGAATAACCTTGTTGGAGACCTGGAAAGTCTGGACCTTTCTTTGGTTATAGCCACAAACTGGAGCGGACTGGGCTGTAAATCCTGTCACTTCCGCTGGTACCTGCAGTCCTGTTTTTGGGCTTCTCTCTGCCTACTTTAGTCATCTCAAAAAAAAAAAGTGGTTGTGATGCTGCTGACGCTTCATTTTGTGTAAAATATATTCTTTGTTTTGTTTTGAAAGCTTGTCTGCTCACATACATTATATTAATGCCATGAAATTAAATTTTACAATATTGTTTTGCTGTCTCTATTTATTTGGGTAATTTCTAGTAAACAAAATTGTATTTAGCACTACAGTACTCTACATACTAGACTACTAGATTGGAATTATTGTAGTCCGCTACAGGGTTGTCCCCTCTGGACGGGTACAAAATAACAGTGATGCTTGAAAGTTTGTGAATCCTTTAGAATTTTCTATATTTCTGCATAAATATGACATAAATCATCAGATTTTCACAAAACTTCTAAAAGTAGATACATTAGGGTTGGGCAAGTTTACTTGGTTTAACTGAGGAAGCCAGAGTTCTGTCTGGATGAAAGTTTGAATTTCTCTTTGAAATTTAATTCTATTATCTTTTTACATTTTATTAATTTTACTTTGAATTTCTCACGGGGCTATTTTCAACCAGTATATAAATATCAAACTCATGAACTTGAATATAAATGTTATACATTTTCTTTTCACAGAGTTACACTTTCACAAGAGAGCTTTGAAAACCTCATGAATCTCACTGATGAAACTTAGTGCTCTGTTCAATAGCTTGCCTCTCTGATGGTATGGGGGGTGCATTAGTATCTCTGGCATGGGCAGTTTACACATCTGGAAAGACACAATTAATACAGAAAAGTTGAGCAGCATTTAAAACAACATTCAGATCTCAGTTGAAAATGTGATGCATTATGAAAGAAAAAAAAAGGCTCGGGACTGTTTAACAGAATCGTACATCAAACCTAAACGGGAAAATATTCACCTCATAAAACTCCAGCAGCTGGTCTCCTCAGTTCCTAGATGTTTACAGACAGGAAGTTTCACAGTGGAAGCTTTGTCTGTTCTTTGTTGAGATGTGCTGCTACCATTAGTCAAAATTACTTACATTCGTTTTCAAGAAATGCAACTTTTTAATTTAAACATTTTACAAGTATACTATATTCCATTGTAAACTAAACATGGGTTTGAAAGTTGTTCATTCTATTCTGTTAGTTACATTTTACACAACATCCCAACTTATTTAGAATTGGAGTTTAATTTATTTTTTTGTTATATTCCAGGTAAATAATACTCGCATGGGAATAGAAAAGGAGGAAACTGCTGCAAATGTGACACAAATGTCCAAAGTCAAAGTGTTTCGGTGTAAGAGGTCACAATACAAAGATGGTTAAACATGGATTAGAAATAATTTATGCATTTTATAAGCCTATCAATATGATTTTTGAAAAATAAGTAAAAAGAGAAAACTTGTATACATTAAATAAGAAAATACTGAGCTTTATACGACTCCCCACTGGATGATCACATGGTTATTTCAAAGGACTGCATGCGTAAAAGCAACAACACTTTGTGATGAGTCCAGGAGTCCCTCATGTTTTATTGCACAATAACCCAACTTTCCAGGGGATAAAGCAGGAAGAATACAGTAACATAAAATACTTAAGTTTACGCTGCATACATTGATTGACATCTCAAACACTTTTTTTCTGCACCATTAGCCAGCCTGCTCTCAAACAAGTTTTATATTTCTCATTGTCTCAACAATCTGAAGTTTCTCTCTTCTTTTTTTAAATTGCATCACTTGAGAGTTTAAAGACATTACTACTGGTCATTGCTAGGCAGCTCAGTTCATGAATGGTGGATTTACACATGGAGCGAGGCTATCTGAAATGCACTTTTTATGCCAGCAGAGACATCATTCCAATTAGAACGTAAACAGTACCATACAGTGGTGCTAGAATGTTTGTGAAGCCTTTATATTTTTTTATTTTTCTGCATAAATATGAACTGAAACATCATCAGATGTTCACACAACTCCTAAAAGTAGATAAAGAGTTGAACAGTTAAACAAATGAGACAAAAATATTATACTTGGTCATTGATTTATCCTCACCCCGTGCAGCAATAACTACAACTAAATGTCTCCAGTAACTGTTGATCAGTCCTGCTCACTGGCTTGGAGGAATTTTAGCTCATTCCTCCGTACAGAACCGCTTCACCTCTGGATGTTGGTGGTTTCCTCACATTAACTGTTCACTTCAGGTCCTTTCACAACATTTGGATTGGATTAAGGTCAGGACTTTGACTTGGCCATTCCAGATCATGAACTTTATTCTTCTTTCACTTGGTAGAACGACTTGTGTGCCGAGGGTCAATGTGTCGCTGTATGACCCACTTTCTCTTGAGATCCAGTTCATGGACAGATGTTCTGACATTATCCTCTATAATTCTCTGATATAATTCAGAATTCATTGTTCCATCAATGATGGCAAGCCGCCCTGGTTCAGATGCAGCAAAATAGGTCCAAACCATGATACCACCACCACCACATTTCACAGATGGAATAAGGTTCTTATGCAGGAATGCAGTTTTACTATCTCCAAACATAACATTATTCATGTAAACCAAAAAGTTTTATTTTGATCTCACCCGTCCACAAAACATTATTCCACCAGTCTTCTGGCTTGTCCTCGTGATCTTTAACAAACTGCAGATGAGCAGCAATGTTCTTTTTGGAGAGAGGTGGCTTTCCTTCAACCTGCCATGAACCATTGTTGTTCAGTGTTCTCCTCATGGTGGACTCATGAACATTAACATTAATGTGAGAGAGACCTTCAGTTGTTAGAAGTTACCCTGGGGTTCTTTGTGACCTCGCTGACTATTCCACACCTTGTTCTTGGAAAGATCTTTGTTGGTCGACCACTCCTGGGGAGGGTAACAGTGGTCTTGAAGTTCCTCCATTTGTACACAATCTGTCTGACTGTGGATTGGTGGAGTCCAAACTCTTTAGAGATGGTTTTGTAACATTTTCCAGCTTGATGAGCATCAACAACTCTTTTTGTTGAGGTCCTCAGAAATCTCCTTTGTTCCTGCCATGATACATTTTCACAAACATGTTGTGAAGAACAGACTTTGATAGATCCTGTTCTTTAAATCAAACAGGGTGTCCATTTACACCTGATCATCATCCCATTGATTAAAAACACCTGACTCTAATTTCACCTTCATATTAACTGGTAATCCTGGAGGTTCACATACTTTTACCACTCACAAATATGTAATATTGGATCATTTTCCTCAATAAATAAATGAACAGGTATAATATTTTTGTCTCATTTGTTTAACTGAGTTCTCTTTATCAACTTTTAGGATTTGTGTGAAAATATGATGATGACTAAAAGTCATATTTATGCAGAAATACAGAAAATTCTAAAGACTTGACAAACTTTCAAGCACCACTGTACCTTTAATACTTTGTCTTGTAGCCCCTGACGAGTGCAATTAATATGTGACGCCTCGTCTGCCATCTAAACACAAACAGGGTTTGATTTTCACTCTTTAGACAGCAATATAAAAGCTTCACATGGAAAATTAAAAAGTTTAGACTACAGACAAAAACAGTGGTAGGAGTGACAGTTGTCCTCTGTTGTCAAAGAAAACAACAGTAGTACTCACAGCTAGACTTTGTCAAGATATCTTTCTTAAATGTTCCACAGTTAGTTCAACCATTGTTCAAATCCAGTTAGATACATTTTGAAGGGAAGTGGGGAAATTGTAGGTAGTGAATATGTTTTATATTATACTGTAGTAGCATGCTGAATCAGTAATATCCTGCTACATTAGCTTGTGTCTTAGTATTTCACAAGTTCTTTGTCACTGACTTGAGAAAAGTCAGGCTGGTTTGTCCATTTTCCATGTGTCCAGTCGTTCACATCCCAGCACTGACTCTCAGAAGACGTTTCAGTTTTTATCTAATACGGCTGTGAAAATAGTTCTTCCCAAAAACACTTTTGTGGTTTGCCTATATCATAGCAGTGTTTTTCTTCTTTTGTTTTTTTTCATAATTAAGTGCTTAAAAAAAAGAAAATGTTATGAGAAAGAAGCTCTCCTCTGTCAGGATGGTCCGTTTGCAGTGCAAAAGTTCATTATGATGATTTGTTTTTAGGGAGTGCTCAGGTAAGCTTGATTTTAAATACTCCTGCTCCAAATGCTCAGCACTCATACGATAGTCTCATCAGTCATTTTCTTGGTCGACTTGGTCGGCACTGAACGCTGGGTGGTGTGCGCGCCTTTCATATCGGGCATGAGCAGGCGCACTTTCTGATTGGTCCTCCTCCACTCAGAGTACAACTGACAGTGGTACCGAAATGACACCTGAGATTGGACATGAAAGCAGGAGGACAAATAAAGACAAGGGAGAAAAAGACGATGTCAATAACACCGACACAGATATTTGAGGGAAGTATGGCTGCAGAAAGGATCATTTTTCTAAACGTCTCATCATTGTCAGCCTCCAATGTGGTGCAATGTTTTCACCCATGTCTGTGTCTGTACTTTGACAGAAACTGAATAAAACACAGAATGAAGTTCAATAAAATTCTTCCTAGTGAACTGATACTTTTGTTTTCCACCCACATACCCTCTGGTATTAATTTACTATCCCATCTACCAACCAAACACTGCAGGCTGATCATCGCAACTTTTTCTAAAATGAATTGTTAACTCTAAAACTCCGGCAAGAAATGTGGGAATGATAGAAATTACTTCAAGGAACGCATGTCCTTTTATTTTAGTGATGTTTTTAATAACACTTAAAGAGCATCTTCCTAAGGAAATTTGGTTCACAATGCAATCCAGTTCAAAAAATACCATGCAGTTAAAAAACTGCAGAATAAATCTAGTTAATTCTTGCAAACATCTCACTGAGCAGTGCGTGTCTGTGCAGGCATGAAGTTTCTGGAAAATTGTCAGTCAAATAATTTCTCCATGTAAAACAATGAGTAATCTACCCTTCAGCATTTTTTAAATATTTTTAAAGTCAGTACAAGTAAAAAAAAAACATACAAAAAAGGAACAATTTCTATAAAGCAAGAAAAACGCTCATCTGTGGCTGTTGTGATATTCCTGTGTTAGGACATATTTTCCCCAAATCTACAATTTCTAGAAATATGTTACACTTGTTTAAAATAAAGCTGACAAAAATCTAGAGGGGAGACTGATGTCCACTCATTTACAGACACATAGCTTGATAGTGCATTAGTTACCAGTGTCCAGAGGATGTAGATGGTGAAGAGGGCGATGGTGAGGGCAATGAGGCCGACAGCCTCTAGCCTGCTCTTCAGCTGCAGATGGTCCTGGGCCCCCCTCAGACACAGCCACCCAGAGATAGCTGCCAGGGGTGTAATGAGGAGGAAGCAGGCCATGTCACACAGCAATGTGCGCTTCTCACTGCGAGGGCCGGGGTCCTTCAGCCACTGAGCAGCAAAATGAAGAGATCACTGGTGAAACTCAATGTTAGTTACAGACAATACAAGCCTAGTCAATGTTAACAAGCTCAAATACATAAAACAAAGGTGTAATGACTGAACTTTGAGGAGGTCTGAGTTTTCTCTATAAACTAATAGTCAAGACATTAAACATATTGAATCATCTCGGACAGTAAAGACACTGTGTTGCCATAAATTCTGTGGCTCAACTGACATGAAGCGACCTGTCAATCAATCCAGTAGTCTTGTGAGCAACTGACCAATCGGCGATCACGATTTGTCCCGAAGTGAAACGCCCCATACCTGCAGGAACTGCACCCTCTTTTCCTCTGAAAACAATGTTGGGATTTTGCATTATGAACGCATTGCAGTCAAGAGAGATTTTGTGACAAATCATCAGAAATAAAAGGTTAAATGTTGTCAGTGGGTAACATGCAATTCTGACACGTATTAAAAGGGAGTCTGGAAAAATGTAAAAAAAATGGATAAAGGTCGACGGCTGACTTCATGGACTGAATACAACAGTGATAAATGGGAACTACCACATGTTCGTCTGTACGAAGGTAACTGCAAGTAAATCCTCCATTTTTTGTAATAATTACATTGTATGCTTAATGATAAATGTAAAGGTTGATTCTGAAAGCTAGTTGTGTTTTGTTTTGTACATAGATATATGTTGTAACTTCTAGTTGCACAAGTTTAGTCTCCGTTTGCTATGATAGTTAACTTTTTTGGCCGCACTCAGCCGAGCCGCAGCTTCACAGGCTCCCGGTGAACATCTTTTTTTGTTCCTGCTGTTTCTGTTTTAACCTTTTTTTTGTGCCTACAATGCACATCCACAGTACGGGTATGACCGCGACAAACTTGTGGAGTTTTCTGTGACGCTACCTTGCCATCGTGGTTCAGTCCTTCCAGCCTCGGGCTCAGGCCTGTCATGGCGACTGTCTCCATGATCCTCCATCTGCCTGCACAGACCGAACTCTAAGGACTCGTTCGGTTCCGCGGGGAACCCTTGGATATTCTCTGTCTGTCGAACGCGGTTCTGGAGGGCAGTCTGGGAGGCAGCTGCTACGGTCCTTATTATCATCATTCTGCTGAAGGAACCTGCTAACAAGACCCGCTAACGCTGCTAACACCACCACGCCGCTAACAGTACCATGGTACCAACAAGACCATGTTGCTAAGAGAAACTTCACTGTCATCAGAGCCACTCTGCCAATAGGACCATGCTGCTGTAGATTTATTTCTTTTTCATTTTTGGCGCCTTGTTTCTGTATTTTTGTTGCATGCTTTGAATAAATCCTAGTTTATGTTAGTTATGTTAGTGCTCACATTAAGCATGTAAATTATAGCTGAATAGAACCTATGAGAATCGTGCTGCTGTTGTTCGGTGTATTGTTTTACACCATTAGTGACTGGCATGCATCTTAGATCTTTTAGTGCACCGTTTGGCATTCGTTTAGCGTATATCTTAGTTTATATCTCAGATCCTTATTTACTGTTTCTTTTTACACTTTATATTTTTGCTATTGTTTGATGTAACTGGGACCCTGGGCCCAATTTTGTTCCACTACATGTACCACATGTGATGCGAATGACAAATAAAGAATCTCTGACTAATTAAACCGATTTTGCACAAAGAATTTATTAGGTTGTGTAATGTAAAATTTACGCTCCTAGTACATACTGAATTTTACTGCGAATTCAAACCTGTGTTTTTCCCTGTGGCATGAAAACATCTACTGCAGTAACTAAGTTATTAGTATCTTTGAATTATTTTTTTTTTTTAATTTGCATGTATTTTTTGCCTTCATGTTGGCTGATAAGGCAGAAATGCCTCACCAAATGCCTCAGGTTAAGCCATGAGCTTCTTACCTCCACCATTACAACCATCTTGTTTGTTTGTGGGAGGTTAGCTCACCCTGAGTTATATTTCCACGTGGGAGAAGCAATCTTACAGTTCGCTTCATGTCAATTCTGATTTTACAGACTCTTAAAAAGTACTTACAGTACAATGCTTTTTGTTTTATAAAAAATATATATATATTTTTTCCTTTTCAATACTCAATTTGAACATTCATCACTGCAGTAAGGCTTCTCTTACCTGTGTGAGTGGTTGTGGTCGTCGTTCAATAGTGAACTCTGTGTGACAAAGTTCACAGTAGCTGGTGTTGGAGGATGATAGCCACTTCTCCAGACAGCTTTTGTGCACTTTGCCCAGTGTACCAGTGCAGTCGCAGGGTGAGAGCAATGTCTCCCCTCCAGCTCCCTCGTGACAAATTCGACACATCCCAACATCACTGTGCAGAATGACAGCGAATCAAAGAAAAACAACCGTTTGAACCATTTTAAATTCATGTAAATATATAGGAGCCACGTGAGAGCTTTCCATTCACATACCTTTGCAAGCTCACAGCTTTGACAACAGTGGAGAGTGGGTGGCCATCTTTAGCTGTAACCTTGGCAACATATTGGGCCTGTGTGGTGGAGTCAGACTCCTCTGAATCCTTGGAGGCATCAGTTTCATTGTTCCCAGAATAATCACAAAGAGAGCCGGGGAGCTGGCAGCACCCTGACGAAGACATGGCTCATCTGAAGCTAACAGTGATGAAGATGTTGGCGGAGGTGACTTCAAAAGATTAACTGATCCTAAACCAGATGTTTGAGATCAGATGTTCAACTCCTCCCACAAATCAAACAGACCGGGAGATACTGAACAAGAAATAAACAAGACAAAGAATGGGTCACTTGGACAAGTTGATAAACAAAAACATGCACAATAATTTTAAAAACTCGTTATATGTCCTACTCATACCAGAAACCAAAAAGTACCAAGTGAGACGATTAACAATATAAATAACTTCATACTGTGAGATAAAGACAAGGCAAAAATAGACAGCGTCTTCAACTGCGGCTGTTTTAGAACTACAATCTATTTTTATTTTAAGCAAAAAAAAAATTCTAAAACAGAAATAATTAATACTGAAAAATGTTATTTTTTTTAGGACGACAATATTGTGTCTAAACTTATTACATGCATCTCCTACATTAAGCACATTCAATAACGGCATTATGAGCTGGAATTACTGCTCACTAAACAAACCTACATCATTTGACTATTCGTTAAGAGACGGTAACAGGATAATAAAGATGTAATTTCCAGTTTGTTAGTTTACAACACTAAATTTCTCCAGTTATGAAGAAAAACATATTAAAAACATAGTACAGTACAGAATAAATCACATTTGTTATAACCTTTAAAAAGGCTAAAATGGCTCTGCATCTTTAAAAGCAGTTTTTAAAACTGGTTATCATTTTTTTTAAACTACAACTTTGAGTAATGTGAGGGTTATTGGTGCAGGTAATTTGACTTCATAAGGGTTCAAACACGGTTTGTTGTCCAGGTAGACCCTGGGGGGGTTAGGCTAGTGTCAGTATTTCTGCAACATGAACTCCTGGTTTGGATCGTCAAAAACACAACCTTACACAGCTTTCTAAAATAAAAAATGAAAAAGTTAAGATGACCTGATAACATATTTGCATCAACATAAACCAAGGCTGGCAATGTTACAGCAGTTTTGCAGAAACGTATTTGGACGGAGAAAACAAACCCTTCAAGTTCACCTTATCACACTAAACGAGAACAACGCCATAGCTAAGTCTACAATCTGCACCTTTATTATTTGCTGTTTACGAACAGTCCGCCTTAACTAAGCTGCTGTTAATCTGTAGTGTATTTAAATGCGAGAACGCAATGTACTGTAAATGAGTGCATGCCCACCACAAAGCTCACATTTCTTCTTAATATAGAAAAAAATAACAAAGTAAAATAAATGTCCCTTATTGTAAATTTACTCACCCGACGGCCTGTTTTTCTTTTTTGCGCTTGGCCCTCCGTTAGCCAGAAACTAGCAAGCCGAGCTAACAAGACAGTCCGAGCTATAAATGACACCGACATCTAAGAAAAAGCCGTCGATATGAGAGGAAACAAACGACGACCGGAAGTGTTGCGTGTTCTCCATGACAGGCGGTATAGGTTTGTCTGTCGGTTTGATTTAAAAAGAGGACGGGATTAGCCTGTTTTTTTTTTTCTGCCAGAATTGCTACATACAGCTAGCGTAGCTGGTTTGCAACGGACAAGCCTTCCTCAGCTGTGCACTGGTCACGTGACCCCGTGCTGCCTTCAGAGCCATCTCTGAAATCCAAACATTAAATATGCGAAGTTTAAGTTATATATATATGTATATTTATATATAAGTCAAAGCAAAACGCAGCAAAACTTAAAAATGAACTGCGCTTCAACGTGTTTATGTCTAAATACAAACCACGGATTAGTAAAAAAAAATAACAGCTGAGAGCATTCTCGCATCTTGTCATACCGAAATTACACCGCTAGATGGAGGCAATGAGTCATGTGATTATTGCGGTTCAAATAAAACTGTTGTTATGGAGGCGCTGCTGAATGTGTGAAAAGATTTTTGTGAAATTTATTTGACACGCAATAAATAAAGACACCAACTAAGTAAAGTCACTGATTTATATACTTTAAGGTTTTGATGATGAACAAATATTTTTCATTCATTCAACCTTTATTTATACAGGTTAATCCCATTGAGCCTCCTGGACTCATTTACAAGAGAGACCTGACCTGACAAAGAGTGATGACAACAGTAGACAACAAAGACAACAGTAGACAATCATAAAAAGTATATCAATTGAGAAGAACAAATAAAAGAAAATGGTATTAAAAAAACAAAAATAAAACAGCTAGGCTGTAATAATGTGTATGTTCCCATACAATGGCGAAATTGGCTCTCTGCATTTAACACATCCACCACCAGGTAGAGCAGTGGGCAGCTATTGAAAGCACCTGGGGAACATCTGTTTTAGCTCGACAATAAACAACTGCATAGAAATGTAAGGATGCATCAGTGATGCTCTGACCTACATTACCTATGCAGATTGTAAAGAGGGTGGGACCTAAGATTGAGCCTTGAGGTACACCATTGTTAACCGTTAAATAACTAAATATTGATATTAAATATTGATCGATATCCTTGTAAAAAGAGATTAATTATCTCGAGTTTTTTCATGATAAAATAAAGGTTTAGATAAAAATAAATAAAAATCTTAACTTACAATTAATATAAAAAAAAACTCAATGACTTAAGCAAACATTTTAAAGTTGACTGATTTTGCACAATGTACGTATTTTCTCCTTACAAAGACAAAATAATATCCCAAAGACCCCAATACCACAACAAACAAACAAATAAACAATTTATACTGGCTTCATTATCAAAATGCCTTGTTAATGAAACCTAAAATAGAAATGTCCACATGTAATTTTTAACCATTAAATAAACAGTAGATATTTTTGTCATTTTGCCCTGCTATAAGTTCTCCCACTACATCTACAACTTCTGTTACTTTGAACCCAAACACTGATAAAGAAGGGGTCCATTCGAGGTGAATGTAATCTTTGCACATCACCCAAAAAAAACAGTGATTGTCGGCACACTTGGACACACACAGACACATGAACACGCAGTCAGAGCATGTCTCTTATTATTAACTCACCTATCTATTGGGTCAAGGTCCAACAGGGCTCTGCAGGCTGGGGGACATCATGAGACATGTGTTAATGGAATTTAACTGAGAACATCAGAGAAAAGCACTCGGAGATCATTAATACATATGTTAGCAATTTAATTGACCTTAAAAGTTAAACAAAATTTGAACTTGTTTCATTTCTTAGGGCTTCTTAGATTTGTTGAGGGGGGTAATCTGTTTGTAGGTATATTGATTTTTCTTGATTTTTTTGAGAGGGATATTGAGTTTCTAATCCTTTTTTGCAGCCCAAAGGAAACAAACGGAAACTTTTTGGGTAACAGAGCAAAGATCAGAAGATTTTTTTTTTGTCACAACTGTATTTCCTGTTGTTTAAACCAATTGCAAGAATGTCAGTAAAATACTGTATATAATTATAGATACAGACTACCATTTTTATGAAAAGTTGAATGTCAGCAAGGGATAGATTTTTTTTTTCCGCATTCAGTAACAGTTTAATTCAGGTGCTGCTCTTCTGTCTTGTGATCCTTTGAGCTGTACCCTCGTGTGGAGCACTTGCAAGTGCTAATTGAGTTTCTCTAATTTCCTGATGCTCTCTTTTTTCTGAAGAGTTAAGCTGTGCGATCTATTTCATGACTAGCAGATTTGTCTGAATACTTAATTTTTGACTTATGGGCTTTTGGGATAGCTGTGGGAACATGTTTTAGCTGTAGGGTGCTGAATGCAAACTAATGATGCTTAAAAAAAGGCACTTCTGGCCAAAAGGGATGACTAGATCAAGCAATATGAATGCAGTGTGTTTTGGACTGTTGTAAAATTTTGCAGACTGATGATGCAAACAACAGTGCTCATTTAATATACCAGCTTTAGAGTTCAATGATAAGAGGAAGTGGTGATGCAGAGGTTAGAGAAAGCAAGCCTATGATATGGAGGTCACTGGTTTGTATCCCCTCACAGTTACATCAAAATAGCTCAGTGCTCTGGGGTTATATCAGGAAGGGTATTTAGCAGCAGCAACAACAACAACAACAACTGCCCAACCTTTGTCGACCCCTGAAGAAGGACTCATCTGAAAGAGAGGAAACAAAAAATAAAATTACTAATAATAATAAATTTGGAGAGGGGAGTGGTGTCGCAGAGGCTAGAGAAGGTGAGCCTGTGATTGAAAGATCGCTGGTTCAACTCCCGGTACAGACAACATCAAAATGTGGGTGGGATTGGTGAAGCACCCACACCTGTCTCCACCCTCATTTGCCCCACTCTGGCCCTTGAGCAAGGCCCTTAATCCCCACCATCTGCTCCCCCGGGTGCCCCAGATAGCAGCTCCCTGCTCCACACAGAGTGCTGTGGTAGCTCAGAGGTCTGTGGTTGTGTCAGGAAGGAAAGGACATCCGGCATAAAAAATAATTGCCAAGTCTTTGTGTGACTCAGTTTACTGTGGTGAACCCGCAAGTAAGGAGAAGCCAAAAGAAGAAAATAATAATAATAATAATAATAAACTTGGAATTTATATTCAGCACTACAAAAATCTGTTGCTCTACCATACCATACCATTTTATTTATAGAGCACTTAAAACAGTGACAAGGCCAATCAAAGTGCTGTACAGACAGAACAACAGGCAACACATAAAGCAATATACAAAATGAAGTAAATCAGAATATAGACATAAAAACGTTGCACATAATAAATATAACGACTAACCAGTGTGGAGCATGCAGGTTCAAAACACAGATCATCTGGTGTTGAAAGCTTCGGAATAGTAGTGGGTTTTTAAACGGGATTTGAAAACCGAGAGGGAGGGGGCCTGTCTGACAAGCAGAGGTAACTCATTCCAAAGTCTTGGTCCTGCTACAGTACAGAGAAGGCCCTGTCACCTCTGTGCTCAAGACGAGTTCCTGGAATTGTGAGAAGTAACTGGTCCGCTGACCTCAGAGAAAGTGGTGGGACATATGGCTGTAGCAAATCAGAGAGATGTGGTGGTGGTGGTGGTGGTGGTGGGGGGGGGGGCAAAACTGTTCAGCGATTTGTAGACATACAGGAGTATTTTGAACTGGATTCGAAGGTGAATCGGTAACCAGTGCAGGGAGGCCAAAGCTGGTGTAATGTGCTCTCTTGCCTGTACTGGTTAAAAATCAGGCTGCTGCATTCTGGACCAGTTGTAGTCGTGCAATGGAGGTCTGACTGATACCAAACAGGAGCGAATTGCAGTAATCAAGCCTAGATGTAATGAATGCGTGTATTACTTTCTCCAGGTTATTTTTGGACAAAATGGGCTTCAGTTTAGACAGCTGCCTCAGTTGGAAGAAACATGATTTAACAATCATGTTTACCTGACTGTTGAGTTTCATGGAAGGGTCCATTATCACATCCAGATTTGTGACTCTTTGTTTTTCTGACAGGGTTAGAGCGGAGAGGTCGAAGCAGTGGTTTGTGATCGTGTCATTGGGAGGGAACAACATGACTTCAGACTTCTTTTCATTGAAACTTAAGAAATTTAAAGCCATCTAGTCCCTGATGTCAGCCAGGCAGTCGAGCAGAGGATGAATAGAGCGTGTACCATTGTGTCTTAGGGGGAAATAAATTTGTCAGTCATCGGCATAGAAGTGAAAGTGTATGTTGTGTTTCCGGAAAATAGCACCAAGTGGCAGCAGGTATAAAGAGAATAGGAGGGGACCCAGGATGGACCCCTGCGGAATCCCCCATTTAAGGTCTGCCACAGCAGAACTAAAATCTTTGGTTGTTGTTAGTGTGTTGTGTTGTTAGTGTTGTTGTTTAAATTAACTTTTTATCTAGGTATTTGGAACTGCTTGCCTTCAAGGAGTGCTGCAGCAACATTTGCACCCATACTTCTTACGACATTGGTTTTTAAAAAAATCTCAAGTGTGCATGGAGTACAACATTTCAGTGTCAGATAACATAAATATGGACTGTGACTTTAGACAGAATAGATATTAAACCAATAAGTAAAACTTTTCATTGTTTAACAAGCTTTGTTTATCCAACAGTCAGGTCCTCTGGATGGAAGTTGTTGAAACGTTTCATCTTTTAGCCAAAAGACTTCTTCGGTCTGCGGTCCTGCAACAAACTCAGTCCTATAAATAGTGCCTCAGCATAGTGGATCAACCAGTTTGCTGCTGACAGCCGGAACTAGCTACAGTATTCACATGTAACAGGACCATCAACCTAACAATGGATAGTGCCCTGACGGCCGCTTGCTATTCACAGAGGGCAGAGTGATACTCGCATTAATATCATTGTAAGAGGGGAACAGATGGACACGGAGACCCTCACCCCTGTTTAATGATGGACGGGTTCTCTTCGCAAAGACGGCTTCCTTTACTCCACTCTCAAACCAACGTTCCTCCCTGGCAAGAATGTGCACATTCTTCACTGCAAGAGTTACTGTCAGTCCTCCTTTTTGCATATGAACAGCTACAAAGTAGTTCTGGCTGTCACCAGCAAACTTGTTAATCCATTATGATAAGGTGCTATTTACAAGACTGAGTTTATTGCAGGACCTCAGACTGAAGAAGTCTTTTGGATAAAAGACAAAATGTTTCAACAAAGAAGAATCCATCCAGAGGACCTGACTCAACCTTGTTAGATTTTTCTACCTGGATTATTGAGCATGCGTCAGAAGCTTTTTTTAATCTTCATTTGAGGGTTGCATTGATTTGTGATCTCACATCCGTCATTAAATCAAGCAACAACCCCAAGTGCCTTAAATTTTTAATAAAGTTCTATCAGTTTCTTTTTTTTTTTTTTTACAATATAATTTTTCATCTTCCCCTTTATTATTTTGTCAATCAAGGTACTTATGATGTTATGAAGTTTGACAACTGGCTGTAGTAATTTAACAAAACAAAAATAGGAAAAGCAACAAAACAAACAAACAAACAGTAGATCAAACATTTTTGATCACATTAAAAGTGCTTAAAATATTAATTTGTTTCTTGTAAATACATTTATAAATGTAACTGATGTGTGATGACCAATATTGCAGATAATTCTTATATAACATGAAATTCTTTAATGTTTATAAAAGAAAATTGTGAAAAGAATTGTTTTATGTCTCCACATGTTCAATAAATGCTATTTGCAAACATTTTACTAGCTTTTACAATTGAATTTTCATTACAAAATGTTAATCTTGTAGACTCCTTTTGGTTTATGATAAGAGGCACTCCAACATTTTTTATTTTTTTTTGCACAAGTCAGTTCTTCAGCATTTGTTAGGTCACGAGATAATTGTCACACAGGACATAATTGATACAAATTAGAAACGTGAAACCATGTGCATGACTTCAACTTGCCAGCCATGAGATTAATTAAGTAATTACTCAAGAAAGGGTTGGCTTTCTGTGAGTCACAAGGATCATAAGCTCAAGATTTGGAGGCCATGGCTCAGTGGTAAAGTGTGTAGGAAGTTTGACCGCCAATTCCCATGCTCTTAATAATATAGCTGTATCTTATCTTATCTTATCTTATCTTATCTTATCTTATCTTATCTTATCTTATCTTATCTCATCTTATCTTGTCTTATCTTATCTTGTCTTGTCTTATCTTATCTTGTCTTATCTTATCTTGTCTTATCTTATCTTATCTTGTCTTATCTTATCTTATCTTATCTTATCTTATCTTATCTCATCTCATCTTATCTCGTCTTATCTTATCTTGTCTTATCTTATCTTGTCTTATCTTATCTTATCTTATCTTATCTTATCTCATCTTATCTTATCTTGTCTTAACTTGTCTTATCTTATCTTATCTTGTCTTATCTTATCTTATCTTATCTTATCTTGTCTTATCTTATCTTGTCTTGTCTTGTCTTATCTTATCTTGTCTTATCTTGTCTTATCTTATCTTGTCTTATCTTGTCTTATCTTATCTTGTCTTATCTTATCTTGTCTTATCTTGTCTTATCTTATCTTGTTTTATCTTGTCTTGTCTTGTTGTCTTTTATCTTGTCTGGTTGTATATATTACAGCTGACACCCAGAAAAGCTCTTTTGTCTGTAATAAACATCTACTTTACATGTGGCTACCAAACTGTATCCTTTATTTATTTCACTAGTTTTAGTAGTTCAAAAGTCCTGGTCATGAACAATATTTGCAATCTCATTCAGACTGTGAACTTGGGAGTGGTGGCGCAGAGGTTAGAGAAGGTGGGCCTGTGATTAGAAGATCGCTGGTTCATCTCCCGGTACCGACAACATCAAAATGCAGGTGGGATACGTGAAGCACCCACACCTGCCTCCATTCTCATTTGCCCCACTCGGTCCTTGAGCAAGGCCCTTAACCCCCACCATCTGCTATCCAGGGTGCCCTAGATGGCGACTGGCTCTGAGAAGATTCTGGCAAACCAACAGGCGGCTGAGGTGAGGAAAGCAGCGCTTTACTAACAATGTGGGAGGTGGGATGCTTGTAACCTCAATTAGTGATGTTTAAGATATGCTTTCTGATTTCAAACATATTTTAGCTCCCTATGATGGAGACTAAAAAGTTCTAGGGCAGAAAATATATAAGCATATTCTCTTTTCTAAAGGTCAAATTTGAGAGAAATGGGCTAAACTGGAATATCACTGACAAATTCAGATGAGCACAACAATAATATTGAGTTGAAGACTCTGAACACTGAAGGATTTTTTTTTTTCAAATATCCTACACTGTTTTAGCACACTATGGGAAATAAATATGGAATGGATAGCTATCTTTTGATAAAAGCAAAACCTTTTCAACATTTGTACATTGCTGTGCAAATATTTTGCTCAGGTTGGGTGATTTTGTTTTCTACGCGAAAACTACAACAGACATGTTCCTTTCAAAATGCTCCTACATGAAACTGTGTGGAGATAATCACATTCAAAAGATCCCACAAACAAAATCATGTTGTCCTGATTGATTCAACGTTGAACATGTGAACGCTGCATGATCAGGAATGGCGTGACGTCAGCACGCATTCCGACCAATCGCAGCGTCTGTTTCCAGCCTATGGTTGTACAGTAAATACTATGAGCTCTGCCTCTTTTCGCTTTGCTGCAGCAATGAAAGAAGAGGGGACAATCGAGGCAAAGCCGCGGATGTGCTGTAGGATTTGATAGAGAAAAACTAAACATTTTCAGAGCCAGTACGGGGAGCTTGCAGCTCTGCCGTGTTTATTGTCGGTTTTTCTGTGTCCAAGGAGAACCCAGGCGAGACAGAGAAGAGACAGTGGTGTACGGCCCACTGCAGTTTGAATCACCGGAGACTCGCCCCGTCGATGATTTGCGGTCATTTGTCTTTCGACGTGTGCATCTCCTCGAAGGCAAAGCAAACAGCGGGGACGGACCAGAACCGAGCCCGGCGTTGTTGGGACTCCGTGCCGCAGCCCGAGGCTCGCTGCTAGGCAGAGCATGCTAAATAATGAGCCAAAGGGACACATTGGTTCATTTGTTCGCCGGAGGGTAAGCAACAAAAACTCAATTTATTTCAGTTTAATGTACGTTTACAGCGTCAGACAGAAGTACTCGTCTATCTTATCGCGATAGCAAAGTCAAAAAGGTCGTTTTTTTTTCCACGCCGCGCGCGCTGTCAGTTATGCGCACGTCCATCACGTTGGACACTGTTCGAAGGAGACTTCCGGTTTAGCCTCTAAGCGTTAAAACCATTACCTCACAAGTTAAACTTTCGAGACTCCTCTGCTGCCTGGGTGTTCATTCCTTCAAATAATTGCTCGCCTTTAAATTGATTGAATCAAACCCGCTCTCCTACATGCTCTCGATTACTTAAAAGTGCTCTAGTTCTGAACATTTTGTCCACATATTTGTGTGTTTCTCGTCTTATGCTTGTTAGAATTACACCTGCTCGTGTCGAAGATCTTCAGGTCACCAACTCTATGTTAAATCATCTTTAAATCACAAATTTGCCCATTTTAATATCTCTTTATTTCATGACCAATCCGTCAGGAATGACGTAAACAAAGCAAGACTGATCAGATCATTTTGACCTAGCACATCTTTTCTCTGTTACCTTTCATCTGTGCACCAAACTACAACACAGACGTTTAGATAAGTCATGTCATCAACTATTCTGGTGTATCTCGTTTCAGGTATCAGTCTTAATTTACAAGGGTTAGTTCATTTTTTCGCCTCAACCCTTTGCTGCCTCTCTAAACCACTCTGAGACTCATGCTGCTGCAGCCCAGAAAAGTAGGCCAAGGGTCACCAGTAGCTGTAAGCTTGAATGTGCAATGGTGTTTTGAAAAGTAAATATAGCTGGTGCTACTCAAAGGAGACCCACAGCAAGAGAAATCCACTGCCAAGATGTCAACATGAAACCACCGACTACACAAAGCATTGACATGATTATTGTGACAACAACCATGACGAACTTAAAGCCTATAGGTGGCATATTTTATTAAAGAAGTGGTTTTTGTAACATATTTATGAAGCAAGCCTTTAGTGAAATGTCATATACTCAACACATCTTTATTTAAATTGCAGTGGGGTGGCAGAATTAGCCAGTATGTGAGGAAGGAGCATTATTTTTCCCCCACACGTTATTCTTTTCAAAATAATCTGTGCAAATCAGTGAAACAAACAAGGAAATATTATTCTTATAGTTTGTAAATGATAGGCTTTAGTTTGGTGCTTGCAAAATAATTTTTTTTAATTTTTTTTTTTTAGCTTTGTTTGTAATCCGTCGGCTAAAAGTAAAAGGCTGGTTTTCACGCCGCCTTGTTTTTGCCTTCTCATGTGGCAAAGCTTTGCAACGTTAACTCGCTTGCAATTCTCCACGATCACAACAACTGGCTGCAAATTTCAGCAAAGATTTTAGCATATATGGACATGTTCTTACTTTCTGATTTCAACAAAAGCTAAACTCAATTCAGAGGCTGGTTTCTGGAAGAATACTGGTAAACATAATCTCATTTGGTTTATTTAAACAAACTGCTCAGACTTTTCTCGGCTCTTCTGTAATCAAGCCAAAGCATACTTTGCTCTGCTCCATATTTTAAAGTTTTAAGATATTTTTGCAGATTTTCTCCTCATCCCTTTCACCCATCCTTTTGTAGATGTGGTGGAACAGTGGGCGCTATTCTGACTTGTCCTTTGGAAGTAGTCAAGACCAGGTTGCAGTCTTCTTGCATTACGCTTTACGTCCCTCAAGTTCAGCTCAGCACCTTCAGCGGAGCCAGCGTCACCCGGGTTTCTCCACCGGGGCCTCTGCACTGTCTCAAGTAAGAAAAATAAGGATGTTTGGTTTTATTTTTATTTTTTTATCTGAGTGCTATTATTCCCAACACACTTAGGTTTAAACAATACAAAGGAAAGACCTGGGGATTGTTTGGTGTGCTCATATTCTTCTTCTTGTACTTTGGCAACAACAAAGGAGGTTCCCCTCATTTTATGACACTATTGCTCATCAGACAATCTATTAAACAACTTGGGTCTTTTTTAGAGATCAACAGAAACTCCAACCAAGAAGCTTGAACAGCGCAATCATTTAGTTTCAAAGTTTTCATCATTTTCTGCTAAATGACAGAAAGTACGAGAATATTCCATTAATGGTTTGTTCCTTTTTTTTATATATAGTGTAGGGGAATTTAAAGCTGGTTAGGTTTTCTTTTATTCAAATAGAAAACAAAACTTACTGAGGGCTGCTGCGGCAACATTTTGTAATGAGTATTTATTGCTTAACAGTTTTCAAATGATATAAACTTGTTTAGCTGCAAAGTTTTATTTTTGTTTACAAACAAGTTTTTTTTTTCTGTTGTGTCACAGTGCAAGTTATGGAGTCTTAAACATATTACATAAAGTTACTCAATCTGATGTGTGTGGACTTATTCATGGCCAAATGCTTACATTATTATGCATGTTAAGGATCTTTGACAGTTGTTTATTTTAAAGAACAAAATGTATTTTGTATTTACCCATTATGGCCTCATGCAACATTTGAGGATGTTTGTGCTTAATTTAATTGAACATCTGAGCTCCTATGTGTTGACTAGAAATTCATATTTTAGGAGAATTATTTTTTTCCCCAAAGTGCTGGCCTTGCACTTTCATATTTCAGCGAAAAACGTTGTGGTTTTGTAAGATTAGCGTGTTACATTTTTGACTCAAAGGCACATTTGTTCATGCTGTTTCTTGCAGTACTTGGTTCTGTTGACTTTGTCAGTTTGTCAAGACTGCATTGTGCAGGATTTAGCCGAACAAGAATGGATCAGTGCCCCGTTTAGCAAGAATTTATTTAACCTGGGCATGTTTCTGTGTCTAACAAGCTTCTGTTGCCAGCATGAACTGATTCCTTCTGGTGCTGAGACACAGTTTGTAAAAAAGGAACATCTTGACACAGAGTGCTGCAGGACTAAGAGGCAATAACTGCAGAGAAAGAAAAGAGATTAAAACAAACATTAACCTAATAGGGTCAGCATTACCTTAAGTGTGTAATGAAGGGGAACACCTTCACTCCAAACTCTGTATATCATTTCTTTTTGTTTTCTTGAGAATGTACTGCAGTACAGTATAGGTAATTTTTTGAGTGTATAGTTCTACCATGCAGAGACCTTAGTTTTTTTTCCAGTCGGTAGTAAAGAACAAACCTCAAATTAAGCTAAAAAGCTTTACATAAGAGAGCAAAACTCATGTATGTTTAGATAAGAAATAGACTGGTATTTTACAAAATTAAACCAACCCTAAAATACTGTTGTTTTTTTTAAATTGTAAACCTATAAACTAAAAAAAAAAAAAAAATAGATGTTTTTTTTTCTCCCACTGTATTTTTAATGTTTTTATTTGGTTGTGTTTAGGATCAGTGCAACAATTGAAGGTGAAACTATTGTAAGTCACGTTACTGGATTAGATTAGGTGTAAATGAATAATCTCTGAACTGATTGAAGAAAATTACATCAGCTGTCTTTATAACAACATTGTAAACATCATCTGGGCGAGGAGGACTTTCATTTTAGGTTTCACAGAAGTACCGGTAGTTGGTTTGTGTCACTTTTGTGTATAATGTCACTTATGGTTGATGTTAGCTTTGGGCATTATGTTCAAAGTGCTACTTAACCTGTTCAACTAGTTTGTGCTCTTATAATTAATATTCAATAAACAAAACAACTTTTTTTTTGGTTTTGTTTCAGTAATTATGAACTCAGACATTTTATCTTATGCTGTATGTTGTTATCAAACTCCTATATGATACTTTCCCTGTCAGATGTTTAATATTAAAAATTAAATATTTTTGCTGTTTATTATGTTAAAGGGTTTAAAAGTAAAATATTTGCTTCTTCTGCAGGTTAATTTTAGAAAAAGAAGGACCCCGTTCACTATTTAGAGGACTGGGTCCAAACCTTGTAGGTGTGGCACCTTCCAGGTATGTAAAAGATTTTCTAAAGTCTCTTAGGTGTTTTCTGTTTCTTCCTTTGTTTATTTGAATAACTGAGTTTTTGACCCACAAGGTGTCACAGTGTCAGACGAACATTTCTAGAAAGGCTTTCAGCAGAGCTTCAGGGAGTGAAAGTAAAAAATAAATTACGCAAGTTTTCAAAATATCATGCAGAATAACATTATTCATTCATTCAACCTGTATTTATACAGGCTAGTCTCATTGAGTCACGATGACTCATTTACAAGAGAGACCTGTTCCAGACAGAACATATAAAGTACAGACGGCAACAATAAACGAGAGTAAAAATGCAGCTAAAATAAAAGTAGTGTTGTAAAACAATAAATCAGGGTGCCATAAAACAAGATAAAATACTAAAAACAAGAACATATTTGCTTTGATTTTGTATAGGCATTCTGAAATGTTTAAAATCCCCTAAATAAATTAAGGTGAACAACTTCAGTTCTTGTTACAAGGTGTTCCAAGTTACAGGAGCAGAGTAGGAAAAGGCCTTTTTGCCAAGTTCAGTCCACACTGAGGGGACGCTGCAGGTAATGATGTCCTGAGAGCGCATGTTGTAACTGCACTGACGTTGTGACATGTGGGAGGAGATGTAAGAAGGCAGCAGACCAAGGAGGGATTTATAGATGAAAATGAACCAGTGTGAGAGCTGCGTGTAGATAATGATGACCAACTGACCAATGAGTACAGAGTACAGTGATGGGTACGGTAGTTACAACCCGTTATGAATCTTGGAGCACAGTGGTAGACAGCATCCAACATCTGCAAGGAGCTAGCAGTGGCATTAATGCAAATAATGTCACCATAGTCAATGGCCGGTAGAAAAGTAGCAGTTACAAGGTGTTTTCTGGCATTCAGGGTTAAGCAAGATCTATTTCTGAAAAAGAAACCCAGTTTTAATTTCAGTTTCTTTATCAAGTTTTCAATATATGAGAGACGTGCATCAACCAAAATTCCCAAGTATTTGTAAGAATCTACAAACTCAATAGGAACACCATGCATGGATGAGATAGGAGGAAGAGTTGATGGCACCAACTTTCTGTTGGAAAACAACATCCCTTTGGTTTTGTCAGCATTTGAGGTGGAACAAGTCTGACTGAATGATGTCAAATGCAGACTGTAGAAGCTGGAAAACCTTGGCAACTTTGTTAGCTCGGCAATAAACAACAGTGTCGGCGGCAAAGAGATGCAAGGGTGCGTCAGGAATGTTTTGACCTACATTATTTATATAAATTGTAAAAAGAGTGGGACCTAAAACTGAGCCTTGTGGCACACCATTAGTGATGTTAGGTATCTAGATGAAGTACCATCATGTCGAACACATTGCCTCCATTAAAGAGGGATTTCTAGGATTCTTCAAGTTTTGAGGAATACTGCATCTTTTCCCCATTTTACCAAAGGCCCAAACAAATAAAATTGTCTGTAGTTACTGTTTGGATTTATGTCAAATAACATGATTATGAGACCAAACACATTCATTAATTGTGTAAAACTTGAAGAGTTGTATTCTTTCAAGTTTTTGTGATCCAAAACACAGAACAAGCCAAAAAAAACCCCAGTTAAAACAAAACGTCTCTTGCATGTGTTTCATATCATAACCAACACTAAAGTAGGTCAGCAATCTTCTCATGTCTACATAAAACAGATTTGGTAAGCTTGAGCTAAATTTTATCAGCATCTGCAGGTCTTGTTATCAGAGTGCAAAGGCCTCTTTGCGTCATTCACTTGGCTAGTTTCGTCAAATCTTGCTATAGATTTTTTTTGTGGAATGTCAGAACGTCATAGTTATTCTGCCAAGCTCCCTGCTCCGTCAAAACATACTCACAGACAGAAAAGTTGTCATAAATAATACCAGGCCACAAATATTTAAATTAATGTCCTACTTAGACCAGTGTAACAGAAATCTGTGCTTCAAATTTGAGCGTAAATGAAAAAAAGTGCATTGATTCTGAGCTTATCTGGTTAAGGATGTGTTGACAGCTGAAACTCAATCAAAATATGAATGAAGCAGCAGCAGCAGGTGCTGGCCAGCTGTTGTAGTTTAGTCACATGACTCTTGTATGAAGTAGTTGTGTTTCATAACTTTGACCCATCTCAAGTTTCCTAAGCTACTGCTGTATCACATGACCATTAGTCATATTCCTCTTGTTGGTTTGTTGTGATGTTTGACATGGGGACTTTCACATAGTTTTTATTTTTTTAGGTTTGGATAGCGCTTATTCTGTCCACATGTCCAAAAGTACTTGAGCAACGCAACCTCCAAACTATTTTATTCACCCCAACATGTTTTTACCTTTAAGTGAACGCTGTTCAGCGTGTGACTGGCTGCCTGTGATGTATTTGATCCAGACTCAGAGGGGGGGGAGGCCTTTGGCATGTGTGGGTATATTTCAGTCCTGTGGTGTAGTCATATAGCAGTTGACATGGCCAACTCATAACAGCAGGAGCAAACTGTGCTATAGGTGAAGTTTGTTAAATAAACCATGAACCTAATGACCTTATTTACAGAAAATGAGCCTGCCTGTCTAAAGTTTTGCACTGCACTGTATATCATTTCAAGAAACCCGTCTAATTACGTCCTAAGTACCAACTAATGAGTAAAACAAAGGGTAGCTTTTGTGTACTTTACATGGTATAGTAAAATAAAAATGTATTTTTTACTGTAACACAATATAAATAAAAACCCATGGACGTGTACTTTGACTCAAATATGCAAACAATAGCACACAAAATGAAGCAGAAACAACTCTCAGGTCAGGTCAAAGTGCTGCGGGTCACTACTGATAATGTTACATTAATGATTAATAGTAATTGAAGTGGGAATATTTAGTTGGTAATCACTGTAAGTAGAGGTATTCTTTACTATTATAATTAGAAAACTGTATTGTGATGCTTGAAAGCTAAAAAAAAAAAACCCAATGAGGCTGTGATCCACTGGGCATGCTGCTGGTGTTCATTAGCAACACACACAAACTAGATGGTTTGCATCACTAGCATCAGTCTGTCTCACACACACACATTTACACTCTCTTTCTCTTAGCTTGATTTGTATTGCACTCACTCTTCTATTCAGAATTACAGCAGGAAGTAGAGGTCACCAAGTTCTATTCTGCAGAAATGTTAACTAAATCCGATGATATTTATAAAGTCAACGACATCTAGGGTCAGGGGAGATGCATCTTTTATTAGGAACATGAGCTGCACATGCACACAAACCTAATTTCAGTGACATACTTTTCCACAACATAGCTGATGTCAGTTTGCCTATCTATTCCTTTTTACAGTACATTTTATTTCAAGCTGTAAAGTAATATTTTTGTCTTAGTAAAACACGCCATTTTTATTTCTTCACACCCAGCGTGTCTGTAACTCTGCTTTGATCTTTAATGAGTTTCTTTGCTGTACTTTTATTTTTGACAGGGCAATCTACTTTGCAGCCTATTCAACAGCCAAGGAGAAGCTGAATGGAGTTCTGGAGCCAGACTCGACCCAGGTGCACATGGTGTCTGCTGGGATGGCAGGTAAACACGGCTCCCTTTCCATTGCCCTTGTGTCGGTCAGTCACTGTCTGTTTTATCTGCCTGTTCGACTGTTTGTCAGTCTGCCTGGGCGGTGTATTTCAGAGGTTTTATTTAGTAACACATTTTAAAGAAATATTCACTTTCTTCATCAGACACGCACATTGTTTTTATTTTAAGTTTTTAATCGTTTTTTTCTTTTTAAATATATGTTATGAAGTTTCTCAGACACAACCCATCCCTCACATCACAAGCATGCTAATGCTAAATAATAATGTTTGTTAAAAGTAGGCATTTTCTAAATGACTCATGTGGAAAAAAAAATCATAAATACATATATGGGTCATAAATGGGTCTATCCGAAAGCACAATTTAAAACTCTCAGGATCAAATTGTCCCTAACCGATGTGACAACGGCATCACCTTTTAGCTGTAAAAACCAAGCCATGTTTTAAACTTTGTCACATGATCTCAGATGTTAAGTAGTTTATCACCTTGTACAAACACCTTCCAACATTTACACCAGTAGCAGTTACATATCACATCTTTATTCCTTCACCACTGTTGGATTTTTCTAAACATCTTCAGATAACACATCTTGTTTCTTCATTTAACGGTGCACATAAATCCGAGGAGGCACGTCCTTATTTAAACACCGTCAGATCTTCATGCAGCTGAGCCTCGACACACAACTCAACACATTTTTGATTGCATTATGCATGCTGCTAAAATTGTTGCTGTATATATTTTACCTGGTGTAAAAAAATAAAAAAATAAAATAACAATGAAAAGAAAAAAATCTAATGGTCCTTAAAGTTTAGGTTGTGCTTTCCTCTTCTCGCACCATTGTCCCTTATGTCCTTATTTTATTCTCCCGTCCTTGCCTTTATTTTTAATTTGTATTTATTTTGAGGCCTCTCCAGAGGACTCTGTAAATAGTTTAACATCCCCGTTGTGACTTATAAACAGTGTGGTCTGGGCCCCCCTTCTTTGCTCTGTGTGTGTAGAGACGAAAACTCTGCCCCCAAAGGTCAACTGGGGCCCCCGGCACTCGGGCGGACGCGTCAGGTAGCACCATATTTCTTTACACTGGTATGATAAAAACCATGGTGATTTTTATGAGTATTAGAAAGTTCATAATAGTTATTTATTTGCATACTAACATTACTCATGGTACTGTGATTGCTACTGGTGTGTAGATTTAGATCTTCACCTGAAGTTTTTGTAAATGCTTGGTGTTGACACAGACCTCTCCCTTCTTCTTAGCTTGTTACATGAACACTAAAGGTATTATTAATAGTAATGACACTTTACAACATCAGTGTTGTCTGAAGTGTAAAAACAAACAGAATGCAATGATTTGCAAATCTCATAAACCCATAGTTTATTCATAGTGAAACCGCAATCATTAAATGTCTAAACTTGGAAACTGTACCGTCTCTAAGACATTAGGGTAATTTAACATTTAAATCGCAGCAGCACATAAAAAGTGGCAATAGGGTCATGTTTACTAGTATGAAGCATCCCCTCTTTTTAATATCAGTCCATCAATATTTGTGAACTGAGGTTTTGGAGGGGAATGTCCCATTATTGTTTAATGTAGGATTTTAGCTGTTCATCAGTCCTGGGTCATCTGTGTTGAGGATTTTTGTTTCATGGTGCCATAAATATTTTCAGTTAATGAGAAGTCTGGATTGCAGGTAGGCCAGTTCAACACCCAGACTCTTCTGTTCTATTGCTGTTTTAATGTTTAGCAATGTCTTGCTGAAAAAAGCAAGACCTTCCTTAAAAGAAACAGTCTGCATGGGAGCATATGTTGAAAAACCTGTGTATACTTTTAATCATTTATAGTTTGTTTTTTTTCAAATGTGTAAACCGCCTATGCTTTAAGAACAAATGTACCCCCATACCATCAGAGAGGCAGGCTTTTGAAATGTGAACTGATTAGTTGGATTGTCTTTATTTTTTTTCCCCAAAACAATGCTATGAGATTTGCAAATCATTGCACTGTTTTTTTAATATTAATATTTTACACAACATATCAACTTTTATGGAATTGGGGTTGAACATTTTTTATATTAATTTATTTAAATTATTATTTTTGTCAGCTCAAAAGAAATGCTAACCTTGTCATTGCCACAGAAGTTTGCACTGGTTGTTTCATTTTGTCTACCGTCGTCATTTATCACCATTAGTTCTTCAGTCATTTCTTTCCAAGACAGACTGATGCCAGTCCATAACTGAGGGACTGGTGATGTTTCGTCACGAGTTGTATTAAAATATGAAAATTTTCAATAAAACACTTTTCTTATAAAGTTTCTCTTTTGGAACTACCTCTCAATTTATACTGTAGAATAGTGAGGCATAAAACAAAGCTAACTTACGCAACACGTACATTTTTTTTTTGGAGTTGCCAATCATTTTATAGTTATATTCATGTTTTATGTACATTTACCTATTACCTCAATAAATATGAAGACACGGACATATAATCATAATCAGACTAATGCTAAATGAGTAAAATTTTAAAACGGTTCTACCTTATTTTCATCAGCCTTTAAAGGCTTGTCAGTACTGACCATCCACAGAGTGAGACTTGAGATTGAGCTTTCAGCCAAATCTGTCACTGAACAGCTGAGTTTAATCCTGATGCAGACGCTTTGTTTTATCAGTTAAACCTGTGAAGGACTTCACCTCACTGCTTTGAAATGCAGGCTACCTTGCCGTTGGCGGACAGAGGCTGCTCCCACTCACGTCTTCACTCAGACGTGTTCTCTGAAACATGCTCCTGTTTCTGAATGTAGGTCAAACCCCTCTGGAGGTGTAGCACAGGAATTATGTGCTTATTAAAGGATCACAACACGAAGCATGCAGCAGCATGCTCTTATAGATTCTGCTTTCTACTGTAGTTGAGCTCAAGAAGAAACCTTGCACAGTGTCTATGTTTTGGTCTACTTATTTAAATGAGCGGACAAGCAATTTGAGCTTATTTCTGCTACTTACTGTAACTGTGAGCTAATTTTATCCTGATTATTTTAGTTACATAGGCCAGGCAAACATGCGAATAACAAACACCTACTCAGTTTATTTTAAGAACTGAGCTTAAAGACCTCTCTATAATTCTTAAAAACTATGTAGAGTATACTTATTAGCTTAGAAAAATTGTTTAGTTATATTCTTTGCTTTGGTTTGTAAGCACGTCAAAGTGGCCTGGAAAAAATAGTTATTTTAATATGAAGTCAACATTCAAACTCATGTTAAAAACTTTCAAAAACTTATTATCTCTACTTCCAACATGTTGGAGTAAACCGTTATTCATTCACATTTTCCTTTCTCTTTTGTTTCAAAGTCATTTTAGTTCAGTCCCGTTTGTTCTCCGCAGGTAGTCTTCGTTGTAATCATTGTTCCACCTCCATCGTTTTAACTTTAGCATCATCACTCGTAACTTTTTTTAAATGTTACCACCACGGCAAGGTTAGCATTTCCCTCCTGCCGCGCTTTACGTTTGAACCTTTTCAGTATAAAAAAAAATATATATATATTTTCCTTTAAGGACATCATGACAAACCTTTAGTGACTTTGAGGAGTGCCTCTTTAGTTGATCTTTTATTTTATTCATGTGTTCATCGCTCTTGAGAGCTCAAATTTTGGTTTAAGCTGTCCATTCGTTTTCCTTTGATTGCTAAAATGTGAAACAAAAAAAAGCATACAAGAGTGTGTAGATGGGAGGGAGATAGAGTGTGGGGGGGGGGGGGTTAGTTTAAAGAAAGCTGGGTGGCGAGGGCTCACTCCCTCACCTTCCATCTTTTTTCATCTTGATCAGAAGTTGGGGTTTGGGGTAGATGTGACTGCTGCTTGTGTGCGACTGTGGTACAGAAAAGCCTGTGTCTATTTTAGGGCTTTACTGTAAAGCTTTCACCCCTGCGTGATTGGGTGGGAGACCCCCGCCATCTGAACCCCCCAAATCTGCAGGCTTCTAGCTGCAGCGGGGAGGCGCTGGAGGAGCTTTGCCCCTCCCTCGTGAGTACACGCCATAGACGCTACTTCATTTCTACTTCCCTCTCTTTCCTTCTTCCTCTTGTTGTTCTGCTCTTCTCTCCAACAGACCTGTGTAAAGCTTTCTTCTTCATGCAGCTGTCTTCTCGTAGCTTTCTGTTGCACTGACACTAGATGTTTCTCTGTTAGACTCGCTCTGGCGTTAGGTGTGTCCTGCAGATGGCTACGCCTCATTTCTCACATATTACTTCAGTTTATAACAGAATTTAAAGACCCGTTGGCTCATTTTTAATGAGACACAAGTCAATAATTGGCTCTGTACCATTAAAAAAACCTAATTTTATGTGAAAGTGAAGCATCTGACTTAACAAACATAGACATGTTTGTTAGTTAGAATCTGTAAATCTACGGTGCTGTTTAAGGGACCTCATTACTGACGGATCCTCATCTTACATTATTCTAACAGGAAGTCTGTCTTTGTGTAAAGGTTCAAAGAATCTTGCTACTACAGTAGTCCCTCGTTTATCACGGGAGTTACGTTCCCAGTGCCCCCCCCCC